TTGGGGAGGCGGCCGCGCCGTCGCGAACGGGACGGGCCGGAGGCTCCGCTCGGGCGCCCCCCCCTTCCTCCCGCCCCGGCCTGGCTCTGCATGCAACTCCCGGTCCCCAGTCGGTATTTCCTGGTAAATGCCTGGCCTCGTCCTCTTCCCGCTCCGAAATCCCGTCGCTACGCGGTTAGGAGCTGTCAGGTTGCTTTGCATTAAATACTTAAGTGTAAAACAGCCCCCCTCAAGATGTGCTGCAGCTCCAAGTCAGGGCTTGGCTTGTTTACTTTTGCTTTGTACTCAGTTCCAGATCCTGTGTGCTGGGAGTGGAAATGTTTGTTGGGAAGGTAAAGTGATCCTTCTTCCCCCTGTTTTGCGTGGTAACTTGCCGGAAAGGATACTTTGCACATATCTGATGTTCTCCATCTGGAGGCTGTGAAACTCTCCTCACTCAGAAAAGCCTCTGATTCTGCAAGTGCTTTTTGTAAGTGTGAATATTCTCATCGATTTAAATAAAGTTTCTGAAGTGCCTGAAGTTGTTATGTGGTAGATGATTGCTATGTGCTAGATGGTAACTTGGCTAAGGTTTACAACACTCCTCTGAAGCAGGAAAATATGATGTGGAAGCTGGAGCTCAAAGGGCTAAATCCACAGCAAAGACACTTTGCTGTTGCTGTATGACTGGATTTCACTATAAGACTCCTCAAATGCTCTCTTGGCCGCTGAAAGTGAATAAAGTGCTTGGGTGTATAGGTTTAGTCAGGGCAGTGGTGAAGAGGAGACTGTGCTAAGAGTCAGGCTTCACCTAAGTACATGTTTTGTTCCTGTTTATTGCTGTTTTTTTTTATTCTGTTAATATAAATTGAATATACTTATTTATTCCGATATTTGTATTCTTTTTTTTCTTCTCTTGAAGCTCTTGTGTATTGCATAACATGAATTGTTTCAATATGTGGCTCTACATGCTGGTCAGTGTTACAGAAGCAGCAGATTTACAGGAGTTCTAAAATACGGCAGAGAAGCAATGCGAACACACATTTCTTGTGGCTGCTTGGAGGAAAATGCACCTGTTTAAAGATAAACATACAGATGCAGCTTGGCTACAGAGTCCCTAACTTAGAGGTTGTTAATTGCTGGAAGTGTGTTCTGGGGATGCCTCTGCCTTGCTTTATGTTCTTTTGTAGATTTTGGCTGTTGTTCACTGACAAGAAACAAGATACTGGCTAGAAAGAAAGACCTAAAGGTCTGACCCACTGTGGTTATTCCGGCATTTGCTTCTGAAATAGGTGGATGCCCAAATGACTAGATTAGAGTCAATAGCGGTGAAACTGGAACAACTTAATGTCTTACTATTTCATAAAGATTAACACTAATGCAGTAGGAAAGATTAAGTCCGCTTATCCAAGTACACCCATTATCAAGGTAAGCAAAAATGGGGTCTGAACCTGTTTTTCTCACAATTTGCCTGTGAAATATGTTGAGATTATTTTGCAAAAAGTCTGGTTGAGGCAGTTTTAACTCCCCATAAAGGGCCCATAAGACAGGAGAACAGAGGTTAAGTCCCTCACTATGCAGGAAGCTTTGACATCTCTATTAGGGATGTAGCAGTTTGTGCAAAAACAAGTATTCCAATACTTAATGTTACGCTTGGGATATAAATTGTCCAAGGTCATGTTGTACCATTGCAAAATGAACAGAAAACTGTTCTCCTGTTTCCATTACTGAGACTTAACCACATTACCTCTTTTTCCCACCTAGGCAGCAAACATAATGGTAGAGTGCTATCCCCATTAAAGACTACCCAGTCTGGGACTTTTAGTAATGCAAAAAAAAAAGAAGAAGCCTGAGACATAGTGTTATATATATTCCATAGATATATTCCTTAAAGCTTTAGAATAATTGTTTTAATTGACTACTAAACAATATGGACATTTCCTTTTTACAAGAGATTGTTTTCAGTATCACACCTTGGAACTAAATAGAATTGAGAAAATTCATGATAGAAGGAATTCCTTAATATCCACTCAGAATTAATTCTGTCCTTGTTCATAAACTTTTCTTTTTACTTTTCCGTTGTTATTTTTGTGTACAGAGATATTTTTAAATTCCTGCACACATGGAGTGCAGATCTCAAATTTCTTCTACATAAACATCCACGAGAAGCGCAATTGAAAAAGTTACTCATCCATCAGAGACCAGAGCAATCGTCATCTAAGCTGCCATTTTTGATGTTTCTAGTTAGAAATAATATATTTGTTGACCAGCTTATTGAACTGCTTTGAATAACAGTTCTCTTAAAGAAATGTTCAAAGACAGGTTGCAAAGTGAACGCATTCTTTATGAATTACTTGCTTAGTTTGGGTGCTTTATACAAAAGGCTGTGGCTATGCTTGGACAGCGGGGTGAATGCAATTGCTGCACCTTTCTGGAGGGCTGCGAATGCTTGTTTCCTGTGCCTGTGCGTGCTCCCTTCTCACTTCTGTGGCCAGGGCTTTTTAAAAATAAAGCCCCCTCCTTTCTTGGAGGTTTTGTGAGGTTTGTTGGTCGCTTGAGGATGGCCACCCTCCGGTACTGCGGTGGTTTTGCTTTCATTACGTGTTGGTTTGTACCCTGGTAAAGTTGAACAGGGAACAGTTAGCTCGTGTCTCTGGTGAACAGAAACTCCTATGCTAGTTCCAGGTCGGACAGACAAAAACAAGTGAACTCAGGTTAGAAGGGAGGGAATTTAGCTTATGCGTATGAAGTATTGCTATGAAAAATGGTAGGCTTCTGAGAGGTATAATGGAAACAGGTTATTAACAAAATAATTCACAATGAACATGGTGAAGGATTGATTTTGAGCTGTATCAGCTAGGAGTTTGGACAAGTGGCTGATCACTGGTCAGGCGAGGTCACTTTCCGTTCAGGCCCTAGAGGACTTCTTTGGCTTAATGGCGGATGCGGGAGTCAGGACTTTTTGTGGAGAAAATTAACATCAGAAAAACATTTACTTGACATTTTAGCTCTTTTCATGCAGGTTAGCTGCTGGAAATAAGGTGGAATTGGGAGTACATGGTTACTCAGTGTACAACCATAATGCTTTCATCCAAAAAGCACAGTTAGAGAACACTGGCTGAAGCCAGTGCTAACTGTTTG